CGTCTTGGTACAACGATACGTATATACCGCACCAAGTACAAAACGGGAACATGAAGGCTTCCAGTGCGCAGACCAAGTGTAAAACCAAGCACTTGCACAATTTTGTGAAACAGACTTTGAGAAGAATGGCGCTTAGGAAGACTTGCGAGGTTCGCATTCGAATCCTGAACCACCCACTGGGGCCGCTTCATAAGCGAATATATAAGCTCGGTGATCCATTCTGTAACTACACGGAGTACGAGAGATTGGCCGCGAAAGACACTATACGGCGAGCTCTGAGTGTCGGGATGAAGCGCGAACTCAAGACCGTGTACACAGCAGCGCGCGCAGACGCCCACAAAGGTATTCTGAAGATGATGGCGAACCACTTTCGATCGCAGGGGATGAACATCACGTTCTCGGTGGCGCGCGCGAGAGATCGGGGCTTGTTTGACATGGCCAAGTCACTCTGTTGAGTGTTTTGCCGCAGGGGATGCAGCTGTACCCGCTCTCATCACTCTCCACGGCAGCACAAGGATATTCAGTAATTCCAACATATTGGAGAAGCCCAGCAATGTACGCTAGAATTACACATCGTGCGTAACTCTTCTGATCCTGCGTCGATACCTACGTGATGATTTCAACCGGGAAGTATGTGTAGGACGAATCGAGTTTCTTGGTGTCATCTGGGGTCCTTGGTACGCGTTCGCGATGGCGGGCATGGCTGCTGAAGTTAATGTTCGCGTCGAGATTGCAACGATGTCAAGACCGCAAGCTCCCGCTCATGAGCCGCCGACCATTGCAGTTCACGTTGCTTACGCAACAATGTGAAGATTTGGAGCATAACCTTCATGGATAGCGACAAGGCCGACGTGGGCAGCAACTTCCCAACGAGTACGGTTCCAGACTCTATGCCGAGATCACTGTGCCGTCCTCTGCTGTTCGCTATACCCAGATAGCGTCGTAGGAGACCAGATAACGTCTCCACACACATGTTGTCCAGTTATATTGCGACATTGTCTTCCTGTCGTGCACCGTGGCGCATGTTCGGTCGCGCGCTCTGGGGAAGTTCGCGGAGGTGTACGGGGATGCATCGCGCAGAAGGAGAACGGTTCGTCATGCTCTAGGTGACATCAGTATCCAGGTGCAGTTTGCATTGCGCACACCCGTGTAATCGTATCCACGTCTATGCCGTTGTCGATGTGTGTCAGCATATGCGCTGGAACGTAGTCAGAAGGCGGCGGTTGGTGTTGATGCATGAGGCCACGATAGTTGAGAGGAAACGCAGATGCGCATCGGCGATGATAGGAACCCAGACATGTGATATGGTTAATGCTGTCCCTTCGCTTGCAATACTTTGGCACCAGGCAACTCGGCCAAGAGCCTTGGTACCTAGAACCTCTGCTTCCTTGGGAACCGGTGTGTAAGGCGGATACGGAATCGAGCGCTCAGTTCTTTCGGGTTGAACCATGAGTGAGTGCCCGAGACCTGGAAGCGATGTGTCCTGTGGATGTGTCTTGGACAGTGCGCTGAGCGTCTCTAATATCCTTGGTCTTGGAATGTCCGATGGAGAAAATGTTCGGCATTGCCGGCCATCACGGTGTGTTGTGGAGGCAATTAGAAACTGTTGCGGGGACCATGGCGACTAGTACTGAACCATGGAGTATGGGGCTCGTAGTCCAGTCCCTGGGGTCAGTGCGGGTATGAGAGGTGATGCGGTGCGCACAGGATGGCCGCGGTCGCTGACTTCGCATTCGTATAGTATTTCTCTGTCGGCGGGGAACAGTCTAGTCGGGTCGCGATGTGCGATGTACGTAGGTGGTGCACTCGTTGGGTTGTTGGTGCTCACGTCGGCGTTGCCGCTATCGATAATGGCAGTGTTTCAAGGAGCAGCTAGCCGTTCCCATCGACGCTATGACGTCGGTGTTGACGCCTCCTCACCGTGTTACCGCCTGTCGAACCTTATTGATGTCCTAATTTTGTATCACACACGACCACACTCTTCTTCCTCTTGCTACTCTTTCTACCCGTCATCGTCAACACCTTGTTGCGCACCCTCGACTGTACTTCATGTCCATCACTGGTATCTCTCCGAGTTATACTCAATGAAAGCATTACCACATACTTACAAATTCTCGAGTGTAGAGTTGCGCGTTTGCGCACGACGACTCTTCTGGCCTCGCGCACGGATATAGTAGTCCGATGGTGTACTGCTAATACTCTTACTTTCACAACCCTTCTTTACAAACCCTCTTCAGCCTACGATCTGTCGCACAAAATCGATTTCCACAGATCGTGAAGAAATTCCGGTTTATTAGTGCGAACATTACCGTAAAGTTTGACATGGATACGCTAACGACGTCTAGGTCACTCTAGGTATGAAACTACGATCGGGCTTACGGTGAACCCTCGACATACACGATGCAGGCTCATGTCCTATTATCAACAAAAGTATTCCTGTTATACAGCGATGAATTGAAAGCCCTCGACGCGAACAAAAAGCAATGATGACGACGGCGATGCGCGATGGGAAGGTTAGACGTAGCTTGCAGCGGGCCGTTCGCCTCGACCCGCATCCTTGGCTATATGTCTCGACACCACGACCCAGACTCGTCCAGAACACGCAGCGCTCGAAACCCGAAGTGCGCCCGTGCACACAAGCGTAGAATATTGCTTCCACTGAAGGGTCATGCCTCAGACCAAGTGTATTTGGTGGCTGCAGGAAAAGGCCCTTCCCAAGTTGTCTTCGCCCAAGCTGAACTCTGGTGTGTAGTATCAACGGTGAAAGAACCTCTTCGCCAGGACTAGCGCTTCCGCATCTCTACACCGACGTAACGCCGCTGGAATCGTTCGATATCCGCAGCTTGAACTCCACGGTTGTAACGGCGGCCCACTTAACTATATATGTGAGACCGTACCCCAGGAAGCGGCACGATATATCGGCTGCACTTGCCCACCTGTTCTCCAACTCTTGAGCTATCTTATATTCTCTTGTCATCTCTTGTCTCTTCCTCTCTTGGCTCATACTCTTCTCTCGACATCTCCTCCTCCCTTGGCCCATCTTCTTCTCTTGGCTTAAAGTCTTGTCGTGACTACTACTCATCCTCTTTTGACCCTTACTTCTGCCTCACTCCTACTCCTGCTTCACTCGACGACCATGGAGGACGCTACCTGGAAAGAGACCCGACCGGGTCGATGGGAGCGCGCACAAACCTACCTCGAGAGAATCAACATACTCACCCGCAACGTCCCCAACGCCATCGGCCGCGACAACTGGGCCAAGAACGCCGTTGCCAAACTCGAATTCCATCCCGACATCAAAGACCCTGCTGCCTACCTGCGGACGGCCTGGAAACAAGTCCGCTACAACCACCCGGAGATTGCCGCATTCCCATACAACGGTCGATACATCTACCGCGTCGGAGACGAACCCTCCATCGCCTTGTGGGTCTCGGCGACCTTCTCCGTCGCCGAGGGCAAGACTGTTGATGAACTGCTGGGACGGATTCCACGGAACGAACAGATGATGTGCTACTTCCTTCCTGACACATCCGAAGTCATGATTTGGTCCCCACACTACCGCGTCGACGCCCGCGGCGCAATCTTCTGCCTCAACCACCTCGTCGAATCCCTGGCCAACATGAACCCCAACCTAGTCTTTGGCGGGTGTGCCAAGAACCTAACGCCAAGCATGGAGTTGACGCTTGGAATCGGGCACGAGAAGACACCAGAGATTGAAGCGCAGGCTGAGAGCCGTCTCGCGGCACTAGAGCCTCACAAGCCAGCCCTGGAGCTGACGCCCACAATGAAATCGCAGAGACCGGGATACACTCAGCGACACTTTGTCAAGCTGTCCAAGCGCGACACCAAGACCGTCATGGACAGTTGCGAAACGCGCGCTCTGGCCATCGACGTCGCTCTACACGCCGCCCTCATCAGCTCCGTTGCCAAACTCGCACAAACAAAGGAAGCACGAAGCTTCATGGCCTCGTTCCACTCCAACCTCCGCACTCTGATCCCAGAAGGCGCGGCGCCAGAGAACTCGCCCACAAGCTACACCAGCGTCATCACCACGGAAGTCATCGTCTCGCCAGAAACAGACTTCGACTCTTACTACTCGCAACTCGCACCCGTCTACGCCGCGGGCTACGCGCCATACCTCCCGTCGTCGCCGTTCTTCCACCAGCGCCTCGAAGAGACGCTGTACGTTAAGAAGTGCGAGGCGGACGGATCACCGCAGCCGCGCTTTGCTTTCCTGGGCGAAGTAGACGAGCAGGTCAGCAAGAACATCGGCGACGGACTCGTCAAAGTCAGGGACTTCTGGCTGGGCGCCGAAACCCTGACGATGCGCATGATGGTGCACACGTGGATTTGGGAGGGCCAACTCGTCCTCAGCGTCTGCTTCAACGAGAGCTATTGGGATAAGGAGCAGGCGGCCAGTCTGCTCGGTGGCATGGAGGATGCGTTGTTGGGGGTTGCGCTGATGAAGTCGTCGAGGGTTGATAGTGCGGCGGGTTCGAAGACATCGTTGGTGGATGTTAAGTTGGCGGAACTGACGATATAGACTGCTTTGGCCGCGTATCTAAGATTCGATAATCTCTATTTGTAGTGCACGATACCATGAATAAGAATGTTTCCTCCTGTTGACTTACGCAAATGCATGTGATGTCGATCCTCTGAGATGTAGTCTGTAAGGTAATGAAGTTTGCTGTCGTCCGCGCCGATGTCCGTGGACAAGTGCGTCAAGCGTAGCGGGGCGACCATCACTCCTTCCGGCCCGTGAACATTGCTAATCATGTCCGCATCTGGATTTGAGTTTTATCGCTCGTTGTCTAAGGCATGCACGTACAAAGCCACCCTCTGTGCGGACACGTGGAGTTGATAGCGTGCAGCGGAGTAACGGCAACGGCTATTCTTCTAAACGCCTACCGAGCGGACGATTCTTGTTAGGGTCTAGCCCACCACCTGCGCAATGCCTCGTCATACATGTTGCGTAATATGTGCTGGATGTATTATCTAGTCTACGAGGTTGTGCCGAAGTCCGCTGTGGCCGACAACATCCCGCGGATGCTGTCATCGCTATACTTCTTGTTATCGCCATATTTCCTAAACCCAATTTCAAGACTCTGGAGACTCTTCCTAATAGCCTCTTCTCCCTGAGATTCCATGAAATCCACGCATGCGATCGGGTACTCGTGAGTCATCTTGAGGGTGAAATGTGGTCTCAACTTCCACGAGTCCATGATTCCGTCGTCCTTGTTTTCATCGTCGTTGGACTTAATGTCGCTTCGGCATAGACCAGCGTACCGATTGGCGTCTTTCCAATTGGTTATCCTACTCTCAATCCCATCCTTGTCAAACCATAGCTCCATCTGCTTGGAGTAGGGAAGCACTCCAAAGCTATGAGTATGGAGTGACAGGGAAATATCGTTTTTCAACACACGTCGTACTACAACATGTATGTTCTCTTGGTCAGGTATCTCTTCACCGATCCTCCCCGGTACTCCAACATTCGTACTCGGACAAAGCAGTATATCGCGAGATGAACAGTTCTCGATTGTAGCACGCCAATCGGTGCAACCGCGCCGCGGGCAACATCTTTTCCGCAAATCCAGTCCGCGGGCATAAATATCTCGCAAATTCAGTCCGCGAGCATGATTCGTCGCGCGCATAGGAATCGACACTTGGAATCCGAGGCTAAACTTGAAAGCGTCCTCAACACTCTTGCGCGTGATTCCGAGCGCATGCCACAACAACGTCAGAAGATAAGGACAGGCCCACGCTGAAAAACGGGTGGCCGACCTAAAGAATAAGCCGAAGGTGCTCTCAGTATAATCGACTGTAAATCTCTCCTGCCCTGTCACAGACAGTAGACTGTAGATGCGATCTCGAGGATCGCGGCATTCCAGCGTGCGACCGAGCTGGTAGAAGATGAACCAGAAGGGTATCGCTGAACCGTGGCGGAAGTAGGTCCCTTTCAGTAGCATCTGAATCCTCCTCAACCGTGGATCATCCTGACAGTGATGCAGTAGCTCTTCCAAAGCGCGCGTTTTTGCCACGCTACAAACGAAGATGCGTTGCGGACTCCGGACCGACAATAGCTCCTGAACAGTCCAGGCGCGGTTCCAGTAAGGGTGATTTGCCAAATCAGTCGTACAGATATCGAAGAGATCATTCCTGTCCTTGAAGCACCCGTCGTTGGAGCCAACAGCTGATGCCGTGTCCAGCGCAACCCATACGTCACCATATCTTCTCAAACCAGTCGGCCCAACACCTAGGAGACCTTTCCTCTTCACATAGCGAGTCTTCTCCGAGACGGCAATTGCACGCTCCATCTGCAAAAAAAGGTCTCGGATACGATTCTCTTTGCCATCACCAAGCCACACGAGAACCTCTTTGGCGTTCTTGTAGAGATCTCCCATCCGCTGTACCTGCAGACTCTTCTCGACATCATCGCTTTGATTGATACAAAGCGCGTCGATCCAAAAGTACTCACCGAAACTGCCATGGCTCGCAAGTTCCAGGAAGTCATAAAGATTCTTTCCGACTTGCATTTCTTGGTTATTTATCCTAGTTGGACAGGGCCCCTCTTGGTAATTTACCCAAATTGGGTAGGTTTCAGATTGGTCTCCCCACGTGTACGAAAGGCATCTGTATGCTGTACCCTCTGTGTCTTCCCACAGCTGAACGAGGACCTGACCAAAGGCGTCCGGCGCTATTACTCTGAGCAAGCGCACTGAATTTGGATTGACCAACGGTTCATACACGAATTGGGTTTGACCAGTTGGATACATCGCTTCGCTGTCCGTTGTTGTAATCTGAAGGAAGAGCAGTGACAGTCTAGCGACTCGATCTTGAGCTTAGACTCAGAAGTTGAAGATGAGCTAATGAAGGCGTGGGAGGGTAGGCGCTCTACCACAGTACGGTCTTGAATCAAGATTCCCACTAGACTCAATTAGAGACGACCTAAGAAGTACCTCTTGTTTGTTGATGTCCAGGAAAAGAGGCCCTTATCGCAACGTAGCGTTGCCGCAAGACGCGGGGAACACTGTCTCGTTCTCGACTTTCGCAGGTGAGCTAGAAGCGTTAACACCCAGGTCGCGAAGATTCGAGCGCACCTCCAACTTCGAGCAAGCCTATTTCTGAACCAGGCCGATCATTGGGACCGCACTCCGGTACACGGGATGATTGCGACAGCTTTGACGTAGTTCGTTGATTGCCGTCTGAAACACCCCCAGCTTGCAGGAGAGACTCTCAGGATGCAGACGCCAGTGATTGAAGAGGAGAACTCGCGCCCAACTGAAAGCTGAGCCTAGCTTTCTATCAGGCCGGTCATGGAGATTGCGCTTCCACACGCGGGACAATTGCGATACCGTTGACGTGGTTCACTGAGTGCGGTCTGTGACACACAGGCTGCGGGAGATGCTCGCACGATACAAGGACAAAAAAGACAATCGGAAAGATCACATGGGCGCTGCTGGAAGATGTAGCTCAGGGTGAGAGAGAAAGATCAGGCTGTGAAGACATGCGGACGTTGCTGTAGGAGCGATAGGCGTCCAACCGTGCGCTGCTTGCCTGAAGCCAGCCACATATCACGTGTGCCGCCTATGATTCGTCCCGAGCCCGGAAGGTCATCACTAATAGCCCGCCCTCCACAACACCAACACCACGCATTCACCATCATGCTCATCACAGAAAAACATCCAACAATCGATCAAAAAGCGGCTCGTATTGATATAGCCAGTTCCACTTACTCTCAATACTACGCATACCTTTTCCGCCATGTAGTCGCCATTCTCACCCACCCCCGCCTGCAACAAAGGAAGATGATAACGTAACCGTGTGGTAGTTTGCCCCGCTATATAAAAGTAACGCCAAAATAGGGATATGAGGTATCGTGCAACGAAGCCAGAACAAAAAAATAGAGAGATAGACGACAGGTAGCAGATGAATGTGCAATCATAATGTTTGAAACAGCAAACAAAAGCAATGTCGTTATAAAAAATGCAGTCCGCTCCGGGATAAAATGGGTATATGTGGTGTAGATAGTTCCGAGATGCGATGTGGTGTAGATGCGACACGTTGTAGATGGTGTGGATGATGTGGGTGTGGGTGTACTCAGATGCGCACAAAGTTGGTGGTGCTCGCGGCGGCTTGGTAGTTCTGTGTTGGAGGTAGGGAGGGCAATGAGGGCAGGGATAGACGCCCGGCTGTAGTCAAAGACCTGCACTTAGCTTATCTGATCTCAACATGAAAGATGAAGATAAGAAAAGCTGCGCGCTAGGGATGGGTGGGTGAGTAGGAGAGAAGCACTAACGCTCTCGGAACCATCTTGCGATCCTGCTCTTCTCGTCGGCTCTGCCCGCCTCGAGATGGGTACTGCGCTCGTAGAGTTCCTGAATGATGTCAGTATACTGGAAATACCAACAGTGCCAACAGTGAGGAAGACTTACTTCGTCGTCTTTGTTGATCTTGATGTCCAAGATCAGATTCCGAATCTCTTCGCACCGCTGCCAGTTCGGGTACGGAGTACCCTGCGCGCGTTGTACTCCGACGATGACTTCGCCCATGATCTCAAACTTCCGCCAGTTGATCCGTTCCTTGCCAACAACTCCGCCCGGCGGTGGCTCTCGGCTGTCGCGTTTTCCTACGACGCTCTCCAAGACGCTGACGCCTGGGTGGGGTGCGAACGCGGAGTCTGTCTTCTTCTTATCCCCGACGAAGGTTGAGTTGCCTTCCGAAGCCGATACGAGGTCGCGACGGTGCAGTGGGATGTATGGTATGCGCTCGCCGGAACTATTCTCCCACGCCAGTCGGTATGCGGAGTGCGACTTGGTCTGGCCCATGAGGATGTCGAGCTTCCAGAAGTCTTGGTTGGTGGCCTGAGGGACCAGCTCCCGAGTTGCTACCAGTCGTCCGATGGCGGTGCCGTTGATGCCTGCCATGACGGCACCCAGCATGTTGTAGTTGTTGAGTTTCCGAAGTTGTCGTGCAATCTTCATCCACTTCTCCATCATGAGCGCCCTGTGCTTGGGCTTGTCGCGCAGGAGGATGTAGTTGGTGACGAGGTAGGCGACGTGGTTGAAGTGCTCGGTCATGCGGGTAACATTTTCGAGATTCTTGCACCGCTTCTTCTCTTCGGCATTCAGGCTAACGTGACGTACAAGATCGCGTGGTCGTACCGAGGAGAACATGATCCAGTCTATCCGGGTGAGTTCCTTTGCGATGGCTTCGTCCGATTCGCCCATAAGCTGGTGCCACTGAATCTTGGACATGGGCTTGATTGGGTTGGGTTCCAGTTGTCGGGCGAGTCGCTCGTTCTTCTCGACTTGGGTAAGCAGGATCTGCGATGAGCCCATGGAGCCGTTGGTGGATGAAGCGCCACCGGTTACGCTACTGCGGGCAACCGAATTCCGTGCCGAACTGCTCATGGACATGTGGCCGAGTGCTCTTGAGAACTCGTCCTCGTCGGAGTCTTCGTCCAGGACGTTGTTGTGGAATGTCGGTATGTTCTCGTTCTGGGCTCGTTGGCGGTCGCTGCATGCCCAGTCGGTGTCGTCGTCCTCGGTGACCATTTCAAGATCGCGAATAATCTCCGTTGCGGCGACGGAGAACTCCCGGTTCAAGGCCAACGACGATGCAAACCTTCGGATGAGTCGGCGTGTGGTAGGGTAGGCAAAGTCACCGGGATAGTAGGCCACCCAGTGTTGCAATATCGACAGGTAGCGGAGCTGGGCAATGATGCGGATCATGGGCAGTTCTTTGTCCTTGTTCTGCGACTCGAAGCGCTTGATGATGGCCTCTAGTAGCTGGCCCGGGGTTGCGAATCTCCGATACAGAGCCAGGAACACGGAGACGAACTTGGAGTCGTTCTTGGACATGGGCTGGGCGAGCAGTCGGTCGACCAGCTGCTCGAAGGTGTAGCCATTCTCATCCGACGGCTTCACCGACATGATGCTTTGGCCGGCGTCCGAGTCGTTATCATCAGACTCCTGGGAATCATAGCCGGGGGACTCTTCAGCGTTGAAAAAAGTTTTGTTGGTGTCGCTGGGCTTATAACGGTGGCCCTTGACCTCGCTTGAACCCCGTTGAAACCTCATGGAGATCTCCGAGCTAGCCCGCTCGTGCTTGCGGCTCCAAAGGTCCTTTTGGGTGATTGATTTCACGGCGGAAGAGTTGGCCCGGCGCCGCGCCATGGAAGCCTGGGACCTGGCTGCAGGGGGTCAATGACTTGCACCCTGGAATGGGCATTGGGGGCATGGAGGGGCATTAGGGGCATTGGGGGGCACTTGGGGCATTGGGTATGGGCAATTGGGCGTGTAACAAAAGGAAATGAGCCACTTACGGCGCTTGGCGGCTATGGCCGCGCGAGTGATGACGGACAGGCATCCTCGGTGCGTCTCCGGGGACGACTCGGAGGTCTGAAACACGCTCACGTCTCCAATGAAGGACTTTGCTTTCTGCTCCACAACTTGCGGATCGACCTCGCGGTGGGCGGGGTGCTGATCGCACTTGCAGGCAACGAGGATAAAGGGCAGGTGAGCCTTGGACAGTGTGCCTGGACTCAGTCAGCATGTCGCGTACGAGGCGCGTCGGCTGACGCGATGGCGGGGTACGCACTCAGCATCTCCGGGACCTTGCCCAGGCTCTCGTGGTTTGTGACGTCGTAGAGGGTGACGGCGGCGTCCATGCGCGGCGTCGCGAAGTCGTGGACCGTCTCGGGCCACTTGATGATGCTGCGGTCGCCGACGTGCACGTCGTTGAAGGTCATCTCGAGGAAGCGCACGACGTAGGGGGTGCCGTCGATGGTCATGCGGCGCGAGCAGGAGGTTGTCGTGGCCGTGTCGGGCAGGCCCAGGGCGCGGCGGATGAAGGTGCTCTTGCCCGAAGTCCGCGCGCCGATGACGGCGATGTTGAGGTCCTGCATGGTTGATGCCGAGTCGCTGGTCGACTGCGTATATGTGAGTTACTACGGTACCCCCAACACATCATCCTCCCCGGATCAACCTTGGGGTATACTCACGCTCGAAGGCTCCGACGCATCCAGGGCCTGGCGGTCCTTGTGGTGGGTGGGCGAGAGGGGCCCCTCGGTGTCGGACGACGACTCGGCGCTGCTGTCGCCCTCCTCGTGCTGGGTGGAGAGGATGGTGGGCTGGGGGAAGTGGTAGCGCTGGAAGAAGGCATCGTCGGCAATCTCATCCGCCTCGCTGGCCTCGTCGGTGCGGTCGAGCTCGCTCTGGGCGTCGGTGTCGCTCTTGGGCACGTTGGGAGCCGAGTATGCGCGCGTCTTGATGCCGGGCCGCTGGGCTGAGGTGCCCGCGCTGCTCTCTCTGCGCGGCGGCTGGGCGGCCTGTGCCATCTTGCCCTTGTCTGTCGGCTTCGAGGGCGGCGCGTGGACGGCCCTGCTGCCTCCCGTGGCGGGCATGGTAAAGGCGCTCACAGCGAGGGCGGGCCCAGGTCAAGGCGTGTGCGACGGCTGGCGGCCAGGCGCAATGGGGACATTGGGGGATTGAAGGCGCTGGGGGCAGGCAAGGGCGGGCTCTGGGTGCTGCTG